GTTTAATAACCGCACAAGTTTGTTCACTCTGATGCCTTATGACAGCAATATGGTTCTTTGACTGAAGACAAAGATAAAGCTGGTTCTGCAAGGGTAATAAATCTGGGCATGTAAAAAAAGTAGCCATAACTACTAATAACAGAATACAAGCGGGTTTGAATTGAACCCGGCGAAATCTGACTCATAAATTAATCGGATGCACAATCAGAAAAATACTCGCCTCTTAAGAAATGTTCAAAACCCTTTATTCCACCTCAGACTGACGGAATGATCCGTTTTTCCTTTAACATTGGTTGTTCTGAATCCAAAGTAATTTTCAAGCGACGAAAAAAAAGCAAACATGTCAAATAAAAATGCTTTACAGGGAGCAAACGTTCACACCTCGTGCATTTCACTCAGAACTCCAGCAACAAACAAACACAGTTAACCCCTGGTTAACACAAAGAAAAGCCCGCCTTGAGCCTGCGATAAGGGATGCGCAGAAGCTTGCGCAGAACGTTTTTCCGCCCTGAAGTCCGGAAGATTCTCGGGCAGGCCCCAGAGATCACCAGCTACCGCCTACACGGCACTACTTCCGCCAAGGGCTGACAGCTGGGGCAAAGGAAAGTCTAAAACGGGCGGGAAAAAAATGCGCGAAGAAAGTAAAGAAGCTCTTTTAGTCTTCCTCCCGTTTTTAGATTTCCTTCAAGCCATTTTTGACATTTTTTCCCGCCCGTTTAGACTTTCCCTCGCCCCCACTATCTGTCCCTAGGTCTACGATGATGATAAACTTCATGAGGGGTTTTAGAAAGGAGCTTATATCCGAGGGGGTTTATAACTGTAATAGTAAAAGCGCTTCGAAACAAGCTACAGCAGTGCTGATCAATCAATCAAGGGTAAATCGTTTCGACGATTAAATAATTTAAAAGACAGATCGGATAACCTAGCTTAATGCAACCATGATGAAGCAAAAGATAAAATCGCGAATTGCTAAGCCTTAGCTTCTTCACAACTTGCATTATACAGATTAGGCTCGATTTTCGCCATCTCCCTGGTCCGGTCTTTGCGGGCTCATTTTCCCGAACAGCGGCTGGTAATCGAGCCTATACACAGATTTGTCTTTCTTGCTTTACACCGATAATCAAATGGCCATGCATCAGCTCGGAAACCACATGGAAAAGTAGGAGAAATACACAACTTATGAGAGGTTAGCAGATTTTTGTTTAAATCCTTTCACATTCGTATATATTCTACAGAAACAGGAGCCGATGGGCTCCTGACAGAAACAACTGTTTTTCTCCCATACAAAACCCTTATATTTTGAACGTTACGCAGGAGAACCGATTGTAATATTTCGAACGTGGGCGACCTGTGCTTGATGAAGAGGTGGAGGGTTTCTATCTAGTCCGGATCCCTTGATGAGGGTGTGAATCTCGTTACTATGGTGATATGTGTATCAGTGAAGTATCCCCGCGTTTTTTTTTTTTTTCACGCGCTGGACGGTCTCAAAAGAGAAGATAGACTATGAACAGGATTTGTTTGAATTAGTAGTCTAGCTGCTGTGATAGGCGCAGAGGTTTTTGGCGCTCAGAATGAATTCACAAATAAGTTGAAAGCAACAAAATAACAAAAAACCTTTATTAATAAATAAATAAAATTACAAAAGTATTGCCCGCAGTTAGCAAGGCTATTCGAGGCGGGACAATGCGTGCAAAATATAAGAAATAAAGAATAAGGCTATTAACTAAGGAAAGTTTGCAGTTAGTTACAAATAAATCAAATAAAAATCGTAATATGGATGTGGACTAGATAACGTACTAGAGGGTCTCAATGGGGTGGTGGCTTTTACGGTTATCGTCTAAAATTTTGGCTCTTTTACGGCTATCGGTTAATTTTTTTCAGTTACGGTTAACACAAAAGTTAAAAACTAACTTCTTTTGTTTCAAAAAGTTAAATATTAATTAACCTGGATTTTTTGTATCTTTAAATCAAAAAAAAGGTCTTCGGATCATCTCGGGATGAAATAAGCTATATTCTTTTGAAAGATGTTAACATTTGATAGATCATACTTTTTTTAAAGTATTCCACTTCTCATATTATTTTTTACCCATAGAAATGTCAATAGTCAATTTAAAAATAATCTTTGTGAAAAAGCAAAAGCAGACACGCGAACGCCTAACTCAAGACCCGAGCGCGACATTCATTATAACAGAAATGGCCGTTTTCACACTAGAGACGGATTATACGTGTGAGACGGGTTATCCGTTTGATGGTTCGCCGTGTCAGATAGGTAATACGTCTTAATTGGAAAACGGAATAATTTTAATTTTGACGGAGCAATCCGCCTGACTTTTGCAGACGGGATTATCCGTTCCAGATAGCCTGTGTACAGCCACCCCCTCCCCTCAGAAAAAGTCGGAGAAGGGGTTTCTGTGGGGAGGGCGCCACTGTAGACAGACGAGTCTCAGGCGGATAATCCGTTTCTAGCTCTAGTGTGAAAAGAGCCAATAACAAAATTCCCGTGTCCAGTGTTTTTAATGATAGCGAAGGACTGTACGGAACGACTGTTTGCCGTTGCCTTGTCCGTAGACCTCATTATTCCGCGCGGCTTATGCGTTTCGGGTCACGTGGTCCGAGCAAGTTCGCCACCGAAATGCCTTGACCGAGATTGCATGGGAAGGCGCCGTACAGGGACTAGGCATGGCAATGTCTATCGTAGCGTCAGAGAAAAACAGGGAAATGTTGTTCATCGGCAACGTGTTTTACAAACAGTGGCATCTCTGCGTGTTGTTTCACTAGTATTTCGAGGGCACGACCTCCTGAAAATCGCAAATATTAATCCCCAGCAAGAAGCCAGATTTTTGCTATGCAAAAGATTAGTTCCCCGAGAGAGCGGCGGAAATGGAGCCTAGGTCTTGGTCAACACTTAAAAGGCGCTTCACCTAACGTGCGTACGGAGTCACACTAGCAGGGAAATAAAAAACGCAACCATAAGTGAGTTTAGTACCTTCATTAAAATTAGCAAATCTAGGTAACTATTTCTTTTACGGTTAACTTTTTTTTTATCCTATTTACGGCTAACGGTTAAAATTTTTCAATTTTTACGGCTATCGACTAAATTTTTGGCCGTTTTACGCCTATCGGTTAACCCCATTGAGACCCTCGTACTAAAGGAAAAAGAATTAAACAAATAAATTGTAAAAGTAGAAACTAATAAGCAAGAACTTATATTTCGACATTTTTGGCTAATTCAGTACCTTTTTAATTAAGGTGGGCGTATTAATATAGTCATCTTCTGAATTCAGAAAAAGTAATTTGCGGAGTGTTTTTTTGAACTTATTCTTTGGGAGTTGTCGAATGTTACAGGGTATCTCATTCCACAGCTTAGCCCCAACGCGAGAGAAAGACTGTTTATATAATTCTAGATCGGAACTGTTAAAATAAAAATTTCCTGAAGCCGATGCTCTTTTATTGTAGTAGTGGCAGCTACTTGTTTCTTGAAAAAGATTTAAATGTCAGAAGGTACCATCATATTGTTATGGACATCATACATAAGATTTGATATAACAACACTGCCAACACTGGGTTGAGAAAAGGCCCCTGATTAAGTGAAGCAATACGTCACCAAAACTAAGGGCCCCTTTTGATTTCACCACGAAGTTCTTTCCTTTAAACCAATTTTATGACGTCCATTTGTTAACAAGGCGGCAGTCTGGCCGAAGTTGTGGTCTGAGAAACTTCCCACCCACCTCTCCCTAACCCAAATATCTACCCTAAGTGAGTTAATGCTAACCGACAATGAATAAACTGCTCCAAAATTCTTATATATTAAGTGGTGAATTGTGTAATAATTTCACGATATCTGTTTTATGCATCGAGTGCGGTCGTGTTTAACTGAATCGATTTAGTTTAAAGAAAATTGTGTACAATTAATTTATGCCATGTACCTACTGGTGCTCCAAACTATATGTAAAATACCAAAATGCTCAAAAATTGGTTGTAGGCTAACATGAAATTGATTCACAAATAATCATTTATACCAAGTAAAAGCCAGATGCGGTCTGAATCGATCTGAAACTTGAACTACGATACGTTGCTAAATCAGTACGTTTACAATGCAAACTAGCGCGCACTTACGCACGATTGAGTTAAGATCAGATATTCAGTGGAGTACCAAGCTCGAAATATGAGCGTCGACACCGAGTTAAAACTCAGTTCGAAAAAATAAGGATCTTTAAGAGGAAAACAATTCAATGACTGTTCCTGAAACCTACAAATAATATGACCGAGATATGAATTTAAAAAAATAAACACCCATGGCGATTTATGGGTTTGAATGCATGGACGAGCAAACTAAATCTATTGAAACCAAGAAAATGGCCATAAATCGGTTCGGCGAAAACACGCGAAGAATAACTAGCACACAACTTCTGTAGGGTAAGTCGTTTTTAATATAAATCTGTTTGATATATTTAGTTTTCGTAAACAATCATTTTTCCCAACAAAAAATCCTTCTTTATAGCTTTAATTCCTGCTGAAGGATAGACAACTGTGCCCACGCTCATCATATTTCGAGCTTGGGCTACGTATGGTATTAATATTCAGCTGTAGTGAGTATTTTATCTAATTCGCCGCTATGCCTCTGGGCTTCTTAGTAATAACTAGATAAGCTCTTAAAAGTGATTAGGTATTCGGGATAGCACTGGTCATCTTGGAATACCACAAAGACAGTCGGATCATCAGTAGAGTTCACGACTGAGTCATAGAGAAGTTCGCCTTTGTTGGGGTCTATCGGAGGTGGTGTCTTCATACATTCTTTTCCAGTTGCATATTTGCCAGATAGTACCTTTGCGAGAAACATGCAGCATTCACCTTTAGAGTTCGGCGGCTTTGAGAATGAGAGAGAGTAAGAAGCTTCGGTTGCAAAATACACGCCTTCTCCATAACTAACTCCTATAAGAAATAGAATGAACTTGTACTCAGTAAAGATGAAATGTTCGTGCGTAAGAAAATTTTGGTAGACCGTCAGTATGAATAACATTTTGATGCAGCTTCTTTAGTTAAAAACCATATCAAGATCTCCCGGCATCATATCGAGATTTCCTTTGTTTGAAAGACACAACTCTCAACTCCATGGATAATTCGACCACCCAGGTACCTATATCTCTCTGGCCTCAAACAAAACCCAATGAAACAAGTAGTAGGAAAAAATATCACTCTTTGACAAGATTTTTTCGAATGAGCGGCAATAGGCAACTTGCACTAAGAGGTCACGTGACCAATGCTTCCTTTAAACAATGAGTTGGAATCTTGTTGATGCCAAAAATTGACAGAGCATATAAAAATTATCTTACACCCGAAATTTGAGAGGAAACGCATTTAAAGGAGATATTTTATATGGCTCTTTGATTTTTCAACAAAGTAGTATCAGTTGTATTGGCCGCCATGTTGGAGGGCATACTTTTGCCCTCCAACATGGCGGCCAAAACTACTTTTTGCTTAGATCTTGTTAAAAGTTTGATAGTTACGCTCAGATGTGCTGTAAACGTTCCCACATCAACTTTTACTAGTATTTCGAGGGCACGACCTCCTGAAAATCGCAAATATTAATCCCCAGCAAGAAGCCAGATTTTTGCTATGCAAAAGATTAGTTCCCCGAGAGAGCGGCGGAAATGGAGCCTAGGTCTTGGTCAACACTTAAAAGGCGCTTCACCTAACGTGCGTACGGAGTCACACTAGCAGGGAAATAAAAAACGCAACCATAAGTGAGTTTAGTACCTTCATTAAAATTAGCAAATCTAGGTAACTATTTCTTTTACGGTTAACTTTTTTTTTATCCTATTTACGGCTAACGGTTAAAATTTTTCAATTTTTACGGCTATCGACTAAATTTTTGGCCGTTTTACGCCTATCGGTTAACCCCATTGAGACCCTCGTACTAAAGGAAAAAGAATTAAACAAATAAATTGTAAAAGTAGAAACTAATAAGCAAGAACTTATATTTCGACATTTTTGGCTAATTCAGTACCTTTTTAATTAAGGTGGGCGTATTAATATAGTCATCTTCTGAATTCAGAAAAAGTAATTTGCGGAGTGTTTTTTTGAACTTATTCTTTGGGAGTTGTCGAATGTTACAGGGTATCTCATTCCACAGCTTAGCCCCAACGCGAGAGAAAGACTGTTTATATAATTCTAGATCGGAACTGTTAAAATAAAAATTTCCTGAAGCCGATGCTCTTTTATTGTAGTAGTGGCAGCTACTTGTTTCTTGAAAAAGATTTAAATGTCAGAAGGTACCATCATATTGTTATGGACATCATACATAAGATTTGATATAACAACACTGCCAACACTGGGTTGAGAAAAGGCCCCTGATTAAGTGAAGCAATACGTCACCAAAACTAAGGGCCCCTTTTGATTTCACCACGAAGTTCTTTCCTTTAAACCAATTTTATGACGTCCATTTGTTAACAAGGCGGCAGTCTGGCCGAAGTTGTGGTCTGAGAAACTTCCCACCCACCTCTCCCTAACCCAAATATCTACCCTAAGTGAGTTAATGCTAACCGACAATGAATAAACTGCTCCAAAATTCTTATATATTAAGTGGTGAATTGTGTAATAATTTCACGATATCTGTTTTATGCATCGAGTGCGGTCGTGTTTAACTGAATCGATTTAGTTTAAAGAAAATTGTGTACAATTAATTTATGCCATGTACCTACTGGTGCTCCAAACTATATGTAAAATATCAAAATGCTCAAAAATTGGTTGTAGGCTAACATGAAATTGATTCACAAATAATCATTTATACCAAGTAAAAGCCAGATGCGGTCTGAATCGATCTGAAACTTGAACTACGATACGTTGCTAAATCAGTACGTTTACAATGCAAACTAGCGCGCACTTACGCACGATTGAGTTAAGATCAGATATTCAGTGGAGTACCAAGCTCGAAATATGAGCGTCGACACCGAGTTAAAACTCAGTTCGAAAATATAAGGATCTTTAAGGGGAAAACAATTCAATGACTGTTCCTGAAACCTACAAATAATATGACCGAGATATGAATTTAAAAAAATAAACACCCATGGCGATTTATGGGTTTGAATGCATGGACGAGCAAACCGGATCTACTGAAACCAAGAAAATGGCCATAAATCGGTTCGGCGAAAACATGCGAAGAATAACTAGCACACAACTTCTGTAGGGTAAGTCCTTTTTAATATAAATCTCTTTGATATATTTAGTTTTCGTAAACAATCATTTTTCCCGATAAAAAATCCTTCTTTATAGCCTTAATTCCTGCTGAAGGATAGACAACTGTGCCCACGCTCATCATATTTCGAGCTTGGGCTACCTATGGTATTAATATTCAGCTGTAGTGAGTATTTTATCTAATTCGACGCTATGCCTCTGGGCTTCTTAGTAATAACTAGATAAGCACTTAAAAGTGATTAGGTATTCGGGATAAGACTGGTCATCTTGGAATACCACAAAGACAGTCGGATCATCAGTAGAGTTCACGACTGAGTCATAGAGAAGTTCGCCTTTGTTGGGGTCTATCGGAGGTGGTGTCTTCATACATTCTTTTCCAGTTGCATATTTGCCAGATAGTACCTTTGCGAGAAACATGCAGCATTCACCTTTAGAGTTCGGCGGCTTTGAGAATGAGAGAGAGTAAGAAGCTTCGGTTGCAAAATACACGCCTTCTCCATAACTAACTCCTATAAGAAATAGAATGAACTTGTACTCAGTAAAGATGAAATGTTCGTGCGTAAGAAAATTTTGGTAGACCGTCAGTATGAATAACATTTTGATGCAGCTTCTTTAGTTAAAAACCATATCAAGATCTCCCGGCATCATATCGAGATTTCCTTTGTTTGAAAGACACAACTCTCAACTCCATGGATAATTCGACCACCCAGGTACCTATATCTCTCTGGCCTCAAACAAAACCCAATGAAACAAGTAGTAGGAAAAAATATCACTCTTTGACAAGATTTTTTCGAATGAGCGGCAATAGGCAACTTGCACTAAGAGGTCACGTGACCAATGCTTCCTTTAAACAATGAGTTGGAATCTTGTTGATGCCAAAAATTGACAGAGCATATAAAAATTATCTTACACCCGAAATTTGAGAGGAAACGCATTTAAAGGAGATATTTTATATGGCTCTTTGATTTTTCAACAAAGTAGTATCAGTTGTATTGGCCGCCATGTTGGAGGGCATACTTTTGCCCTCCAACATGGCGGCCAAAACTACTTTTTGCTTAGATCTTGTTAAAAGTTTGATAGTTACGCTCAGATGTGCTGTAAACGTTCCCACATCAACTTTTTAACATTTTCCTTGAAGTTTAAGTGCAAAATTTGTGTTTAGAAATTGGTAATTCATAATTTTAAAATCTCATTTTGGTCACGTGACCAGCTAAGAACTTACTCATTTTAAGAAAATGGTGCAGGTTTGAAAAAACTAATCACTATTATTTTGTTAAAGATATGACCCACCAATCGTTTTTTAAAAAGGAAAAATCATATAACTTTCATTTTCATAAAAACGATGTCACCTGTCCTCTAAGTGCAAATGGCCTATCCAGAAGCAAAATACCATAAATTCTCTATTAAGCCCCCCTCCCTATTAAATCTCATCACAACTCTAAAACTTCATGCGGAATGATCCGATATGGAATTTATTCACAAGCTTGAAGTCTGAATTTGTTCAACGATCTTCGATTTCATGACCTCCAACTTTATGTTCCTGAGCTTTTCCCCCTTACATTCAGGTTTTATAGAGAAATGATACCATCGTCTTCACTAAATTAATTAAACAAAACGTGCTTGCATTACCCCTTGGGGGCTTAATGTTTCGTTTTTTAATTCGATTGCTTGCATCAGCGGTCTCCTTCAATTTGAACAAATACCTTTCTATCTTTCAGATGGTTCTCATTCACTTTTCTTTTAGCTGATATACTCCTATTTTCTTCAGAAACATCTCAAATCGCAAGTGATTATAGCAGCATCCCATATGACGTACTTTTAGTCCAGTCATAGCCCACAATCTTCATACACATTAGCCATAATTGTCGATTCAACAGTTTCTGTGGTTCTTTTCTTCCTAACCCTACCATTACTTTTTGTATGACAGACCGACATGAACACTTTACTTTAAAGTCTAACGCTAGAATAGAATATTATACATTTTTTTTAGAAAGTAATAAATCTAATTACAAAGAAAAAAAGGGGAAAAAAAGAGAGAAACCTAAGAGGTTGCTGCCCTTGAGCCTTAGTTCAAGTTATTTCTCTCAGGGGCAGTGTTTGAAGGGAGCCCATTTCTCTCTAAGGAAGCGCCTACGTTAATGTTATCGAAAGCTACCTATTTTTAAGGAGGAACTGGTGTAGTCTTACCATTACTTCCACAGAAGCTCCGGTTAAATCCGTGAGCACAGATGTCCTTCACATTGTGATATCCTGTTCCATGAAACAGATAACTTTCGTTTTTGTGGTTTCCATTCTTCTCCGCCATGCTTTGCTTTTTCATCGTATAGGAACGGTATATTGGTGGGTTCTGGACCCTCTGAATACTTATGAGACAGACCTTTAAAACAAAGGGAAAAAATGGGGTGCAAAGTTTAGGCCAATGATTTGAGAACGAATTCGCCCTTTGTATACGCTGAGACTACCGACAACTTTAAAACATTGCAAATCACCGACTGACCAGGACTCTAATTTCAATGGCAGTATGGACGCAAAACCCTGTATGTAATTCTGTTAATACATACCTTTTCGTTCGTGATAGATTGCATAAACATGCACTCAACTCCCTGGTACTCGGACGACTTTTCCTCAAGAAGGACTAGATGAAGCCTCTTTTCCCGTCCTTTTTGATCCAGGGGATGGCTATCCCACTCAGGGGGAAGGGGAATAACTAAATCAAAGAAAAGAAAGTGCAATTTCCTATAACTGTTTACATTAACAAACATAATTTCATCTTTCATGGACACGTTACCTATAGCACAGATTTCTGCAGGGCCGAACAACGTAATGTGCCATTCGAGGACAGTAGTTCAACGAAAAAGTTCGAACTTGTAAAAGTTACTTGATTCACTGTGATTTTTCTTAATATTATTTTTTTAATTTACGAAGAGATTTTATTTCCTTTAGATTCTTGATTTATTCAACATTTGTTTACCGAAAATAGACCTTTTCTTAGGGCCCGGGAACGGAGCTAACAGACATATACAAACTGTAAAATCTATAAACTAATAGACACTTGCCTTCTTTCCGAAAGATCTTCTTTACTGCCCCCGTTTTCAGAAACTTGACTTGGTGGAGGTCAAATTTAATTTCAGCCTTTAAATGTTTGTGCGTGAAAGAGACAGAAGGTTGCTTGGACTGAGACGCTGTTTCTATGTCATAATTCGCCATCATTTCAAATGGTTCGTGTTTCCCACTTACACTCAGGTAACACCACTGAACATTTCGCGACGTCATTTGAGCGCGTTCCAGTTGATGTTCCTCCTTAATCTGATCTTGAACAACTTTGAAAACTTCTCCGTGCATTTTCAGGACATCAGATGGAAATCCTTTTAAGGCGATAGTCCCTGGTCGGGAAAAATCAAGACTAACATCTTCCTCACGCCCCTTTCGCCTCAATTCCTTGATGCACCGTTTTGGTAAACGGTGTATGGCATCTTCGCTGAAGTCAACAGATTGACATTCTTTATTTACACCAGCCTCTAGAGCCGCTATGGCATCTTCACAAACCTCGTGTCGTCGATATACCACCACCTTGTGTCGACAGCCCTCTATTATTCTTTTAGTTCCGATTGCCTCTTCTTCTTTATCGCCTTGAGCCGGGGAGCTGTAGCTTTTACTGGACTCGGAAGTCATCTGTTGGAGGGTACAAGCAAACGCCTCTTCTACTGAATCATCATCGAGGACAACAACTCTTATTTCGCGAACAGTGATGGGAGGGCCCACTGTCATCAAGAAGGAGTAGATTGAACCCAAAACCACTTCTGCCGATTCTTGTGGACTTAAACCTAGCCCACTGCTACCAATCGCAGGAATAGAAATCGACTTCAATTCCATGGAATGGACTTCCTCAAGAGCTGATTGGACACAAGCTTGGAGTTGTTGTTTGTTTCCTGATTGTACGACCATGTGAACAATCCATTTGGCTGGCAAGTGTCCAGCAGAAGTTCTCAAAACCGTTTTAGACACTTGGGATATAAACGCTGTCAGCTCCTCTTGGACCTCACTACCGCTAGCATCAGCTATGGTCGCACTCAACACACCGTTTTTCATTTGAAGATCTTCGCCTATAACACTGATAATGCCCTCTGAGGACTCTTTGGTAATGTCTCCACGTGCTATTTCCACAGCTGTGTCACCTATATAGGCTCTTGTACATCTCGGTCCTGTTAGAATCGGCGCTTCAACTTTGTTACAATGTAAGTGCCTGGTCAAGGGGTTTCCAGGAAGCATAAATCTTTCTCGTTCAGGGTCTTTCTTTATATCCCTAAATTTCTCCTCGAAGGCTAACAACCCAGATTTATCTTCCTTGTGTACAACGAATTTAACTTCTTCTATGGGTGAGTTGGGGTAACTTTTGCTGTGGCTGAGGGCTTCATCCACCATGACCTGAACGGCAATTTCATACGGGAAACGGAGATTACCGGTACCAATGAGTGGTAAAGCAATGGAACACGACCCTAGCTCCAACGCCTTGTCAAAACACTTTCTTACCAACGTCTGAAGAATCTTTAAAAGGAAAAAAAAAACAACAACAACAACAAATCAACGGGTCATTGAAAAGCTCCAAGAATGATACGACAGTGAGTGCTACTGGTTTTAATGTAAAACTTAGCTAGTCTGACTTAAAACTAAAGAGGCCCTCTTTAGTTTTAAGTCAGACGACTTTCAACACTGTAAAAAGTCGCGTCCATGCCGGTAAACCATCTAAACACTAGGGCCATTTATACGAGGAAAAATAAGACGCGTCTTACATAAGACGCGTCTTAAATAATACGCGAACTGTACCATTTATACGAGCATGTCTTATCTAATAAGACGCGTCTTAGCTAAGCCGCGTCTTATTTTAGACGAAATGTGCCGTTTATACGGAAAGTTCGCGTCTTATTTAAGAGCGTTTTATGTAAGACGCGTCTTATTTTTCCTCGTATAAATGGCCCCGCTTCGTCCCAAAGGGTCTCTATATACAGACCGAAAAAAGTCGAAATCTCAAGGTTTTTAGGATGCAAAACTGAAAAAGGCTTATTCTGTCACTCCTTTTAATGGCAATACAACGAGATTAAAAGAAAATTAGTCTGACCTCATGTCATTCAAAAAAGTGTTAGTTCTTCCTGTTGCCCAGCGCGCATGGTGTCGTATGAGGGATACACTATTATGAGGTGAAAACTATAGGAAATATTTTGCTGGTAGTCAGAGTTCCTTACAAATTAATATTAATTTACAGGTTCTGCTAAAAATTAAGGAAATACATTTCTAAGATAACATTATTTTTGCTTGAACTGAAGACGAAAGTAGTAAAGGCTAAGTTAGTTTTAAATTTAGGTTTAGAAAAAAAAACCGTACTCTCATATATTAAATACAAATTTGTCTGTTAATTACTAAGTACGGAGCTAAATATATGTCTTTAAGCCTGAGTACATCATGGCTTATGCCACTCTACTTGGACGTCGAAAAGAACCATCAATAATCGATGCTGTTAAAGAGCTTTGTATTATTCCTACCTCTTTTTCATCACTTAAACCTTCATCCCAAGGACAACACACACAGAACACCACGTGACGGCATGGCAATTTTCCTACGCTCGACGTATGAACAATTCCCCCTGGTCTCATGATGCTCGTTTCCTTAAGAAGCGCTTCTTTTAAAGCTGGACCAGCGGCCTTGCTCATGGCACGTGCTAGCGTTCCAATTGACAAATTCAAGTTTGAACCGACTGAGCAAACCAGCACATCCGCCTGTTTATAAAAGAAAAATAATTAACAATTATTCCTCGAGTCTGAATGGGCTATTGACTCAGAAGCTATGAGGGCGAGAGGAATCATTGTTTTAGTAAAATCCAATTAGTTGGTCAAAAATATCGAGACAAAACAACTTTAGCTAGCAAAACACGATTCAGCCGCCATTGTTTTGGTTTTCAAAGCCGGCACTTTTCGCTACTAGTGGGCTATAACATATAACTTAGAAGTAGATCAACCAATCATAACGCAGCATTGATAATAGACCACTAGTACTTGATATCATTTGCCGAGGGAAACACGGTTAGTTTTGTTTTCCCGAGGGTCTTAATGTTTCGCGAGGGAAATTCGAGGGAACTATTAGTTTGTTCAGTGTAGAGCTACTGAGTTACGTCTCGTGTTTCAAACTAGACAAAACGCACTTCAGTGTGACAAAACGCACTTCAGCGTGACAAAACGCACTTCAGCGTGTTCCCTTAAAAGTATGAAACGCGTCAGTCACGGTGCGTTTTCACCAGTCGTCACCATATCATATGGAGTGTAGCTAAATGTCGTGGGTCGTGGGTAGTGGGTCGTGGGTGTGGGTCGTGGGTGTGGGTCGTGGGTGTGGGTGTGGGTAAATGTTGTGGGTAAAAAAAGTATGGAAAAAATGATAAAAAGATAATAATAATAATAATAATAATAATAATAATAATAATAGTAATAATAATAATAATAATAATAATAATAATAATAATAAATAGAAAAAAATGGAAAATATTTATAAAACGAAAATCTCCAACTCCTCGATTGCCCTTTACGCTACGGCTTCTTCTTCGTCCTCTTCCGGATATTTCCTTAGACAGGTGGGACTTGGCTCCCCTTTCACACCATCACTGCCATACATGTTGCCGATGGAAATTTATACATACCTGAGCTATCGCCGCAAAATAAACGAAACAGACGTAAGTTATACGTACAATTTGCAGAAAATATGGAATAAACAGCTCTGACTCTCTGAATGGAAGTGGCTGCTCACTATTAATCTTTATTCGATCTAAAATTCCAATGATCAGCGGAGATTTCTTAACACGATGGAATGCGATCACCGTGGGAAAGAGCGGGGAAAAAAGGACAATTTTGAGGTGTTTCATATTTTAGCATAGAAGCATTTCTGAAAGAAGTTTTAAGCTAGCTAATAACTTACGAAGGAACCACCTTCATGCTCAACCTTTCAAGTTAAGGCGCGGACAGTATGTAAATTTTATTGCCTTACGTAAATATAATTTTCTCGATTTTTTTTTTGTTTTGCGTTCAAAATCTTTGCTATAACGATTCTCATTCCTATCATTCCTTTAACTGAAAGGACGTTTCAGTCACGAATGTTGACTTTTTTGAGAACAAGCAGTTCAGTCTCCAGTTTTCTGTAACCTGCTATAGGTTTACATAGTGTACAGAGTTTCTTATTTTAGTGTCCGTTTGTACTAAATGATTCGCTTATTTGCTTTGCTGACCGCGGGGAAGGGGGTAAAACTGGCATGTACACGGAGATTTTCCTTTCATGAATTTTACAACTTTTTGCCTTTTGATTTTTTAATTTTAATTTTTTTTTTGGAAAACTTTTTTTTTTACCCACGACATTTACCAACACCCACACCCACGACCCACGACCTCTACCCACTACCCACGACCCACGACATTTAGCTACGCTCTATCATATGAAAAGGCTCGTGGATTCCGTAAACAGAAAGACGGTTAATCGAAATCAATACCGAAAAAAACGCATACCTCCTCTTCCTCTATTTTTCCTCTTTTGTAGATTATTCTCTTTCCCTCTAGAGTCCTAATTGTTTCATCATCTTTATCGAAGCCCTCGTTCTCGTTGTCCGTATCGAGGCTGGACGTGTCATCGCTATCGACTTGTTCATCCAGATGTTCTTCGCAGACTTCTTCAATTTCGATGACACATTTTTTTTCCCGTTCCACAGTCCCGACAAGTTCACCTTTGTTTTTCGCCAGGAAACTCCTCATTCCTGGCAAGGAAATGTAGAAATGCTTTTCGTTTATTTCGTCTTGAAAGGCCTTGAACTTGTCCTTGATTTCTTTTACACCTTCAGCTGTCCCCGTGAAGAATAAATCTCCACGTTCGTTGGACGTTACTTTGACTGAAAACTTCGAAAGGTCTTCTTCGAGTTTTGTTATTTCATGCTTGTGAAAGTCGTGGAATAATCTTTTATACGCCGGTGAATCGAATCTAAATTCACCTTCTGTTGCTTTCTTTTCATTTAAAATGTCTCTCATTTTCTTTAAAGCTTTTTCCACATCTTTTTGCATTCCAAATACGTGAAATTCCGTCAATCGTCTCTCACACCGAATTTTTAGGCTCTTTTCCAAATCACGACGAAGATTATCCCATTTCGAAGATACCAGTAACTCGTTATCACTGTCTTTTAAGTCAAGCTTGCCAGTAACAAGTACCTTTCTGGCTAGTTCAACGCCCTTCACGGTATCTGAGAGAGTTCTCCCCAGAAACAGAACTGCATTGTTTTTTTCGTCAACATTGAAGGCGCACCCTTCAGCTGTCGCGTCCTTTAATGCATCATTCAGCTTTCTTTTTCCGACTTTTGTCTTCAAAATTTCTATTATTTCTGGAGGACTTGAAAATGAATTTTGGTCGATTTCCTCTAGGCGTTTGCGAAGATAGGCTGTGGTGGCAAGCATATGATCTTTGGGAGTCTTCAAGAAAATACTTCTTTTGCTCAAATCGATTTCAGCTTTCACATCTTGATGGACATCTTTCTTAAGCATATGCTCTATTTCAGCATTCTTAAAAAGCTGAAGTTTTTCGTTGGGTATATCTGTCAAAGTTTTTTGTTCAAGTGTTTTATCCAGCTCTCAGGCTGTTGCGCGATTTCTGCAAGCCGACGTTGAACTTTTTCCTCAAACTTGGGTAAATCTTTTTTGAGGCAGATTAATCTTAACTCTTTCAAATCTTCAAACTTTTTTACTTGGGCAGAAAAACTTGGAAACATCATTTCAATTTGAGGAAGCTGGTCAATAACTGGCTCCCATATATCTTTATCGACTGGAATGTCTCTCACTGCGAAACGCTCCAGGAAGTCAGTTATAATCTCGATACAACGTCTTTCCCATTCATCTTCATCAAAATCTCCATCTGGTTTCTGGCTTCTAGAGCCGTATTTGATAAGAACATACCCATCTTTGTTGGTCAAATTGATGTGTGCATGCTCACGGGATAGTCGGTCTTTGAGTTCTAAACCTTGATTACACTTGCTGGTCACATATTCGATAATATCCATATCCACATCCATGTGAAAATACGGGAGTTCAGACACTAGCATCTCCGCGTCTGGGGCATATCGTGGCCCTTTATCGTCAACGGGTTCTACTGTACCCATAAAAGGGTAGTACCTCTCCACGTGCAAGTGAACTTTATCAGCAAGGAAGTGGTCATTCTCTACAATGTTCTTCACACCTTTAGAACAGAAGAAAGTCGATATTTAATCTCGTGGGGGGGGGGGGGACCCCCCTTTATGGGGTATAAATCCCGTATGTGGCCCCCCCTCCGGCCGGGTTTTTAGATCGGGAAAGGGGCGGGGAGGGGAAGGGGGTGGGTTTCGGGGGACTCGGGGGGGGGGGGGGGGTACTCCCTTATATGAGCTATATAGCCTGTATGTGCCGCCCCATCAGGCAGGGTTTTTGCGCCGTTTTGGTCTGAAAACGGGTATACACTTTGCCAATTTTGGTCTACAATCGGGTATGGTTTTCTAGGCAACTACGAGAGTGTATGAACGTAGGTCTTTATCGTTTCAATTCCAAATGAGTAAGAAAGAAAGAGAAATATGCGAATTCGAAATGGATTTGAAGAATTTTTTTGTTTGCGCTCTTATCTACGTAATGATAACATAATTTCTGCCTAAAGGCCAGGTCTGAAAACGGGTGTGGAAGATCTGAACATATTTTGGTCTGAAATCGGGTCAGGGTTTGAAGAACCGGGCGGCACGACCCCACCAAGAATTCCCAGGAGTACCCTCCGGTATTTACTTAAGATGAATATGTACTCTGTAAGTGGGTTGTATACACGAAAATGTTTGGCGCCATTTCAAAGCGGTTGACGATGAGGTAATAAACGCAAGAGCAAAATTTACTGTTTTGCTTAGTATTAAAACCTATGGCTTTTTTTGACGTTGGTGTTGCTGTCCCCGCTCTACATCCTATAATTCATAATGACTCAGATCAAGAGCCATAATAGGACGCCTATTATGGCTCTTGCTCAGATGTAAACAAGCAATTAAAAGTCAAACGGTAGTGATCCAGTAACCCTCGGGAAATTAGGTGATTACTTTCTAACTTTTTCTTACATTTCCCCTTTTAAAATCTGATATTATTTCCTTGTATTCCGAATTTCTAAAGTAAAGTTATGAAATGAAAGTTTTAATTCTCATCCGCGATATAAGGTCTAGACCGAATGACGAACTTTTCATGAGGCGAACCAAACTTAGTAAGTTAAGTTCATGACAAGTTCGACGTCTGGCTCAGTTAAGTTTCTCTAAATGAGTTTAGAGCGTCCAACACGTCCCGGCCAGCCGTCTACTTATCAGACGGATAGAACGTCCAATAAAGATCTCCGGGCGGGGCAAACGTCGATATTCACATACGACGAACCAAACTAAAAAACTGAAAAATTGGTATGAAATGTATCTTTTAGCCTCGTTCGGGACAAAAATTATTACTGAACACCCGCTAGCCGGCTAGATTGTCTTTTGGTCTGATTCAAGAGTGGATTGGTTCAACACATCCTTAGTTCGATCTTTTAAAACTTAATATAGGTCGACCCAAATTAGAGTTTGGTTCGTCTCGGGAAAAGTTTGACGTTTCGGCCTAGGCCTAACTCCGGCTTTTTTCCCTAGAAACACTATCACGATCGCCTGCCTTCACTTTACCGACTGTAATTGTTTATAAAACAGTAGGAAAGATGTTACTATGAAGAAATTAAATTAATCTTACTTTTCTCTTTCTTGAAATACAAGATCGCTCTTTTCTCTTTCGCCTTTTTTGCTTTGACCTCTGTTGTGTTAGACACCAACTTTTCCACCACACCAAACTTATCAAAGTACTTTTCAATAGTCTCTTGGGGAGTGTCCTCTGGAATTCCTTTCACGAAGATGCTCTTGCAGACCGGTGCTCTTTCAATTAACACGAACTCATAGTCCAGCTTCCTATTCTTAGCCTCTTCGCGAATTTTATCATATTTGTAATCTGAAAAAATAAATTGCAATCACAATAAGCTGCAAAACCTGAAAAAGTTTATTTTTAAAACTAAATTAACCACATTGGCGTGCGAAGACCATCACAATAACGACGGGGCTGGGCTCCAATTTATATAGTGTGGCCCAGGAACAGACACTAAGGAAGTAGTGGGGTAGGGATGTTTTACTTTTTTTTATGTGGATTTAATTCACTTTTCAGTGGTAAAATTAACGCCGATGACGTCATGGACGAAAAGGACTTACGGGCCATATTCTGCTGACCTTTTTCTCCATTCTATCTCGAGGAAATGACAGACTCCTGAAGGGGGTCTTGTTTCACGCGCCGTTAGTCGGTTAATTATGCGAGTTAACAATGCACATTTGCATAGAAATTCAAACGTGAAGAACAACAATGTGCTGACATTTGCACACAAATTGGCTCTAAAGTTAGGGCCTATTTACACGGAGTTGGGGGACCCCACGCAGTAGAGGTAACATGTGGCGGGTCACCCCACCTAACATGTAAACGTGATCACATTTAAATGAGAGATTATATGGACAGGCGGGTTACCCCACCTAAGCGAGTTACCTCACCTACCTGGGGTCCCCCACCTCCATGTAAACAGTCCCTTAGACCCAAGAGACAGCCTTGACATGTTATCATAAAACACAAAACAATAATAATAATAAAAAAACTTAGGAAGGATTAATTGAAACATGCGACGAATAAATGCTCGCAATAAAACCAGACACGTTTCTTTTAAAGACACAGGAAATCAACTTTATGACCCTTTAGTAATTGCAAAAAAAAAAAAATACTTTGTGATTTTAAAGAAATATATATTAAGTAGACCAAAAAAGGCAATGTAGTTCTTTTTGACACTATGCATTATTTTTTACTTACCCCTCCTCCTCCTCCTCATTTTTTATAGTTGTAAATTCCCTTCGGTTGCCTAGCATTAGAAGAGAATTGATTTCTGTTCGCTGTTATTGTAGCTGTTGCATGAATTAATTGTGAGATGTTTTGTATGATTGTGTCTCCAGTATTTCCTAAATGCAATTGTTGTTTTAATACGTGCTAAGAGGTATTTGTGTTCTAGTATAAATATGGCTGTTTAGTATGCGAGTCATTCTCAGTCGTTACGCTTCCTTTTCTGCGTGTAATTTAATTTTATATATATTTAGGATTTATTTAGATCAGTTGATTGATTTTAAAAATAGCGCTTAACTCTATTGTAGTTTGATCTACGTTCAATGAATTTATATATGATGTGTGTATTTTCGTTTATTATTGTTATTGTTTCGGCTTCGTAGGAAGGTCGTGGAGGTTTTTTTTGGCTTTGTTCCTACCCAGGTTTCCTCTATTTTTCCCCATCTCTCGCGGGTTTTTTTTTGTGGGGGTTTTTCCTGGCCTCCGAGCGTCTTTTGTAGTTACGTATCCAAAACTCCGTTAATTTTCCTTGATGTATTCTGTGATGTATTCTTAACAATTCTGTTTTTTAGGCTCAGTTAAAAAAAAAATACATAATAAAAAAACTTCATTCTAAAAATGATTTATAAACCGCATTACGTGACCAGGCACGCCCTATTTTATCGAGAAATCCTTTGGCTCGAAATGTCCACAATGTAGAAAGCAAACTGTTGTCCTTTAGTAGGTCCAAACAGTGGCTACTGATAGTCTTCTTGTAAAAACGATTGGAATGAGACGAAGTCATTTTTTCTTTGTCCTGACGACAATTTTAGTTAGACGAGGACTGGCATTAGTCAGTGAGCACCAATTGCACCAACAAAGTGTGAAGATTCCAACCATTCCGAGCTGATTTCGTAGACACTTTGTAGTGTCAAAGTTTTGATTAAGAGAAACTGGAGCTACACGTTTAGCAAGTGGTGGGAATCGTTGGTTGCAATTTTCGAACAGAGGAGGGCGCGGTCGATCACATGACCTGGGAATTTGGATTTCTTTTTTCAAGTTTTTTAAAGGTTATTTTACCTTACCATTAATTATTCCTGTAGGATGTCTTTAACAACGATTTTGGAAAATTTGCATAAAATTCACAAAGACTTAGAACCAAGACTTAATCTACTTAATGAGTGATAACACACGTAATGCACGTGAAAGGGAATCAGATGCCAAATGCTAATCAGATGCCAGATCACCAAATACCGGGACTAGAAAGAACGGTTTTGTTAATGGCCAAGCAAAATTGAAATAAAGATTTTTCAGTTTACCTCTAGGTCTTTTTTGTTTATTTTACACCAACCAATCAGTGACTGGTTAAAATAAACCATGATATCATCTTACCTGAATAAATTATGGCATCATCATGACCAAGTAGGGACATGATATCACTTTTCTATTTATAAATTATGATTTCAATGCTTTTTGATGACGTCAACCCCTAGGGTATTCTGACACCATCCTATCTTAATAAGATGCATGACGTCCTCGGCGTTAACGTATACCACTAAAAAAGTTAATTAAATCCACAAAAAAGGAGTAAAGCATCTCTAACCCACTACTTAAGGGGAATCATTGCCAAAGGTTGTTATGTCCGGCTTAGTGTTTCTTCTTTTTCTTTTCAAGTCCCAGAACAAGCATATCGTAAAGGTGATCATGAAGACCGTAGAAGGTCTATTAAACCACTGCAGATGCAAAACAAAGGCATTTATTTACCTTCTACTATCCTCAGTTACGTAAAACCTTTGCGTGTTAGTCCGGTCAGGAATCGAACCAGTTTGGAGGTCTGTATGCGCAATCATTGATTGAATAATATTATTATCACGGTAGTTGGCGGTTGGCACGTTGCAAAACAACCTTTCTTGTCGCTTAGCTTTGGTTCCTTCACTGTATGTATTTGAGTTTCATTTTCGATGCTCTTCAAATCTCTTTTGATATAATCTGCAGAATTAACTGCCGTTATTTTTGCGTTTTTCAGGCGAGCGAGGGCAAGCACGGGGCGGGCATGGACCACCAGACAGCAGGGACGGAAGGAAGGCGAAAAACTGTCTGTGGCGCATACTGACGTTCCACGCCAGCCTCGCGCTTACCCTCGCTCACCTGAATAACACAAAAACTGACGACAATTCTGCAGATTATACTAAAGCTTATTTTTGCAGGCTACAAAAAGTAAGAATCCCAGAAACTTATCGTTGATAACCTTGAAATCAGCGACCACATACCCACCTGAAATTCGACGATTCAGTGTCACAATGGCCTTTCCTTTTGGCTTAAACCAAAGAATATGTTTGACATCACACTCACTGATTCTCTCCATGAACATCTTTAAACCATCTTTGGTGGTTATTTTGTTTAAACCCAAAACATAAAGTTTGTTTGGCTCATATCTAGTGTCCAATATGAATCCACGAGAAGCTGCATCTGTTCAACAAAATGATAAATTACCTCCTTTCTCTTTTACCAAATTCTGTAGCAAACATAGTGGGCTATTTTGTTCAAGTTAACTTAAAAGTTAACATGAGCGGGTCGTTCAGGTTATAGCAACGGTTTATATCCTGTGAGTACGGTGGCCCAGAAGGGTCACACATGCAAATTAAAAATGTTGCTGCAAATTAAAAATAGTACATGCAAATTAAAAATTGTACATGCAAACTAAAAATATTACCTGCAAATTAAATATAGTACATGCAAACTAAAGAAGTCCTGCGCGCGCGGTATGAGTGATGAGGACCTGGGGCCCGTTTCTCGAAAGTCCCGATAATTAACGGGCCTGGTAAGCTGTCTCCGTTTACATTAAAGATCGAGGTTTCAATAGTTTTGCATCTAGCATGATAAAACTATCAGTTAGTGAAACAAAATGGAGTAGTTTGCTAGCCGGGACCCGCGCTCTTATTCTTTATATTTCGATTTGAATATTTGATTTCGGGCCCGAAAAGTTACCGGGACTTTCGAGAAACGGGCCCCTGGTCCGAGCCGTGCGACCTAGCCTTACAGCCGTCGGTCCATTCATGTTTCATGTTTGTAATATTTTTAGTTTGCATGTACAATTTTTAAGTTGCATGTCCTATTTTTAATTTGCAGGTAAAATTTTTAGTTTGCAGCAACATTTTTAATTTGCATGTGTGACCCTTCTGGGCCACCGTACGTGAGATTTAACTACAATTGTAGCCTTGAGGACCACGATACCAAAAATGATGCCTAGGACCGAGCAGCACCTCCCCTTTCACGTGGCGCTAATTCGAAAAGCTTTACGAAGGAACCTAACACGGGGCAATTTACTCATCTTGGATATGGAGTTTATCGCCCGGCCCTCCACAACGAGTCACATAATCACCTGAGCGACGTTGGAAATTAATGTGCGACTATAATATTAGGGGACGGGTTGATATTCACTATTCCCCTGGTTAAAACCCAGTCGCTTGTTTTAAATATTCATAAGACGATTCAGAAATGCACTGAGGCCATAAGGTTCACAACAGAAAAGCCACGCTTTCGCAAAAATTCATCCCGAGGCAGGGATGAGGAGCCAGGGCGGAAAAAAAACCGGCCTCAAACTCTTTTTAGGGAGAGAGGAAGGAGGACGAAATTACCCCTTCTTCCACGTGACCGCCTCTGTCCGTCGTTAACTGATCCTCGACCTCTCTGTTCTTCACGACCTCTTCCCCGGCCTTCCGCGTGCGGATCACTCCCAACACCTCTGTAGTAGGTTCCTCGACCTCTTCTACCCCTCGAAAATCCTGATCTTGAACTGTTGCGTGGTTTTATTCCTCCTTTACCTTTTTCTTTTAAAATGACATAAAAAAGAAAAAGAAATTATGGACATTCTTCATGATAAAAATGAACTGTTTTTGAGGACTGAAATTTTAATTCGGCTCACTATTTTTCTTCCTTGTTTTTCACTTTCAATTATTATTTTTTAATAAAATTATTATCCGTTTCAGATTGACTTAAATCCCAAGGCTACTTCTTAATGGCCAGCTAGAGGTGACCAAATTTGGAGGATGTATGCTCTAATGTAACGACTGACGTATTTCATTGGGTCTATTCCGCATCCGCCGCAGTCAGTCAGAAACGAAGCGACGAAAGTTTTAAAGTAGGAAAACCTTTCGTAGCACCTTTTTTCCCGACCTTACTGACTACCCCTGGGTCTTTAACCCTAACCGCAGTATTCTCGGGCATTTACATTTTGTCTAAGGTGGCAGTCAGAGCAGCTTACAAAACCCTAATATGCTATCTTTACACTATGCCGGATAGCAGTTTGGGTTGGGTATATTATGAACAACAACGGCACCGAACTGAAACAAGTTGTTCACACACATCGAACATCATCATAGCTCTCAATTTTTTAACCTGTTTAAGGAAACATGGCAAATTTAGATTCCCAAGGTGAAATTGTTTCTATAGAGCTTCTAAATCCAGAGGAAACACAGATATGGAAGGGTGAAAACGAACCGGTAAGTTCCCGCCAACATTTTTTTTAATTTTTATTTATGCTCTTCATTGCCGCCTTTATTTGACAAGCAAGGATTGGATGCTACAGTAACGGTTTGATTGACGTCAAAGAAAAACTCAAAATCCTGAAAAGTTTTTTGACAACGCAGGCCGAAATCAAACCTTCATGCCATCACATGTCATGAGGAGAAATAGTACAAATACTGCCTCAAAAACATAGCAATAATACGCAAATACCACTTGAGGGATGACAACTGCGTTATGAAAAATGTCTGCCAGAATAAACATAAAACTAAAACTGCCAAGGAACAGGAAAATGTTTTGAAGAAGAGAATTGTACATAGAAGTAAGTAGGAAAAAGCATGTTTTGAGCTTGGACGGATAATGCAATAATTGTATTATTACTCGTTCAACTCGGCTTCTTATATTGCGATGAATTATTAAGATCTCGTATACATTAGTGTATACGCCTCGTTAAGTAGCAGAACCTTCATATTGGTCATATTAATCAAAGATTGCGGAGTGCATGCAATGATTATGATCCCAGGCTCCCTCTATCTTAGCAAGTTGGTACTAGGTGATCCCGAAGCTGCATATTTGCATTAGAAGTGAGTTCTGCGTCGAAAGCAAGCATACCCAGCTTCATGCAATAATTACTAGTTTTCAAATCACCAATTGCCAGTTATTTATTTCGTGTATTTTCAGGGCATTAGGATTGTGCATGAAACTTTTACTTTTCCCTTCGTTCGAAGGATCTTAATCCCACACGACAACATGCAGGAACTAAGATTATAGTGCTCTGACCGAACACTAACCTGCCATATTGGATCCAAAGCGTCAGAGATCTAACGGGCTTCAACCTTTGTATCTGAAGCATGCAGTAATTAGAAAATAAAACAATATAAGATTCAAAAATGTAGAAAAGTGTTAGGTGTGACAATATATCTAACTTCATTCTTAGCTTCTAGGAATACTAAGCTGCCTACTTTTCCTTCCAACCTCCCTCCTTCCAGTCCTTCGTTCCTTGCTTTGCTCGTTTTTCTTTCCTTTTATACAGCTTCTCTTAGGGCCTGTTTACATGGAGGTGGGCGACCCCAGATGGGTGAGGAAACATGTGGTGGGTTACCCCACCTATCATGTAATCGTGATCAAATTAAAATGAGAGACTATATGAACGGTCCGGTTACCCTACCAAAGCGGGTCACCTCACCTACCTGGGGTCCCCCACCTCCATG